GTTTGTCTACGGCGTCAATATAATAACTACATGCACCTCACAATATGATAAGCATGAAATTTACATATTTAGATATTTTACTCGTATGACTACTGTTGTGTTCATTTGACAGACCTGCTTATTAAATTTGAACGAGAAAGAATAAAATGGGGATCTGAATAAAGTTTATAGGAGTGGGGATTTTTGTTGCAACATAACTTATTTATTGGCCCATTCCCTCAAATTTAAAACCCAGATATCAGGAACTTAATTTTAGGTATATCATAAAGCGAAGGGATCTTTAACAGCATAATAATTGTTCGTGGTATATTTCTTTATTCGGGTATTGTATTCTATAAAGGAACTGAAAATGGTTAAAATAATCCTTACTGTGTTCATTTATTAATATTGTGTGAATCTGTGTAAAGTCCTTAGATTGATTAATAAAATGAATATCTATGTAATTTCCTTAGCCTGATTAACAAAGAGAATGTAAATTCCTTAGATTGATTAACAAAATGAATACCTGTGTAAATTCCTTAGATTGATTAATAAAATGAATATCTGTATTAATTCATTAGATTGATTAAAAAAATGAATATCCGTGCGTGTAAGTTCCTTAGATTGATTAACAAAATGAATATCCGTGTAAGTTCCTTAGATTGATTAACAAAATGAATATCTGTGCAAATTCATTAGATTGATTAACAAAAAGAATGTAAATTCCTTAGATTGATTAACAAAATGCATACCTGTATAAATTCATTAGATTGATTAATAAATTGAAAATCTGTGTAAATTCCTTGAATATCATACATTTTGTAAACTTTAATAATTATCTCTCAACATGTAGCTTCGAGACAAAGATTTTTCAAAGGAAAACATTTACTGCTTTAATGCTCTGTATCAGTGAATCAGTCATTTGGGAGACCACTGTCATTGAAAAAAGTCGTTCGATACATTCCAGTCTCCACTTCGCGTGCACACAGTTCAATATGATTTTATTTCATTGCCTGAAGAGAGGCATTTGCCCAAAACATTGGATTTAAAATTTACATGATATTCAAAATTAGTAAATGGTTTTAACCTTTCCATTTCAAAATTTAATTTGTATTTTTAAATCGTCGTGTCTATAATTATTCAAGGGATGGATTCGTGCGTGTCTCAACTTTTGTAATCGTAGCTGACGTGTAGTTGTACCACGCCACACCACACCACAAACAACAACCTTCTATAAAAAAAAAATACTCGAGACACGGGATCGTTGTTTTTTATAATATGTGTACTATCAATTAGACATTATAATAACAAAATAATATTTTAAGATCACCCACTCCCCCACTCAAAGTGAAACATAACTTGATGAAATGGAAAATATACAATGAAAGAGCTCTATGTCTTTCATTATCCAATGTTCCGATCTTCATAAAAAAAACGATTCCACGTGGGCAATGCATAAGATGAATATAACAATTGTTACTTGTCCATAATGTTCTAGTTGTAATAAATCTGCGACAATTGTCATTTTCTACATCAGAATATTATGAATCATAAGTTGGTTATAAAATAATGCCCCGAAATTCCTAAACCGTGTTTTTACAGGCATTATGTACACATACAATACAATGTCCGTCTTCATTGGTCCAATCAGTGCAGAAAAGTGGGACGTCAAAAATGAATCTGAGACAAATGTAAGGTTCTCAAGCAGAATGTTATGAAAAATAAGTTTATATCTAATATATTGGGGGTCGCGGTGGCTCGATGAGTAAGACGTTGACTCGATAACCTTGAGCTCTCGCGCTCGATCCCTGCGTTGTCACGCATGGTTCTCCCTTGTCTGTGGTGCAGGACAGAGGGCCTGACAAGTGACAACGTATAGTCGTTCAGATTTGACGAAACCGGAGGTCCCGTGTACACATTGGCGTGCACGTAAAAGATCCCGTGGCAGTTAGAATTCGATATAAGAGTAGGCGCTGTCCGGGCAAAATTCCCCTCATAGCACACTGTATGGCGTAATCCTGTCTTCATTATTAGTCCAGTCGGAGCAAAACGGTACGCCGTTAAACCCCATTTCATTTCATTTGTATCTAATATCGAAGGACATACCAAAATAAAGGATGTAATGAAATAAAGCCTAGATCAACGAGCCTAATAAGAGTTAGTGCTAAATGATAAGGCCAGCTCAATTTACATCTCAGCGACCATGACAAAAATTGAGCTGGCCTTAACAAATAGATTTAGCCGCCTAATAAGCTATTTCAGTCACGTTAAAATGTATTTAAATCTCGTGTGATAGTGTCACATACTTCTCAACTCTAATTTAGACCTCGATTAATCGCTTTTTTAAAGGACAACTCCGACTTTCTTTGTGTTTCAGACAAAAATCAATATTTCTCCACTTCAATTATATATATCTCTTGGAATTTGTAGGCTGTGTAATTGTATTGTCTACCCGATGTCACCGTATCGTTTGTTCTGTCTGTGCAGTTTTCCTGGCGGTTTGTTAAAATGGTTTCTAGTATAATAGTACAACAATCACTTATCAGAAATATGATATCGTTTTTGTCTGTTTAAATTATCTTGGAATTTGTAGACTATCTAATTGTACGGGATGTCACCGTATCGTTTATTCTATCTGTGTTTAGATCTGCAGCTTTCCTTGGGGTTTGTTAAAATGGTTTCTAGTATAATAGTACAACAAACAGCTATCAGCAATATATATATATTTATATTGTTTGTTTTTCTGTTTCAATTATATACGTCTTTGAATTTGTATTGTATTGTCTATATACGGCATGTCACCGTATTGTTTGTTCTATCTGTGTTTAGATGTGCAGTTTTCCTTGTGGTTTGCTGCAATGGTTTCTAGTATAATTGTTGTTTTTTTCTGTGTCAATTATACATGTATATCTCTTGGAATTTTTAGACTATGTAATTGTATTGTCTACGCGATGTCACCGCATCGTTTGTTCTGTCTGTGTTTAGATGTGCAGTTTTCCTTGGGGTTTGTTGAAATGGTTTCTAGTATAATAGTACAACAAAGATTTGTTAGCAATATATATATATATATATATAATATTGTTTTTTTTCTGTTTAAATTATCTTGGAATTTGTACGGGATGTCACAGTATCGTTTGTTTTATCGGGGGGGTTGGATGGCTGAATGGTTAGCGTGCGCGCGCTGTATCATAAAGTCTGTCATTGAGTCGACTGGCGTGGTTTCCAATCCCCGGTTGTACGTGGCAAGGAGTAGGGTCGCCTGTCCAACCTCGTGGGTTTTCTCCGGGTCCTCCGGTTTCCTCCCACTGCTAAAGACCCCTACGCGCAAGCGAATTATGTAAATAAAATTAAACCATATGTTGGTCCCGAAATGACCTAGTTTGTGTCGAGTGGACGTTAAACCCCATTTCTCTCTCTCTCGTTTGTTTTATCTGTGTTTAGATGAGCAGTTTTCCATGGGGTTTGTTGAAATGGTTTCTAGTATAATAGTATAACTAATATTTGTTAGCAATATATATATACATATTGTTTTATTTCTGTTCGAATTATTTATCCCTTGGTTTGTAAAAATGATTTCTAGCATTTAATTAATACATATAAATGTAATTATTGTTTGTCATATCTGTGTTTAGATGTGCAGTTTTCCTGTATGGTTTCTAGTATTAAATTTATATCAAAAAGGATAGATATTTATTTAATATATGTACCTTTTGTTGTCTAAAATGTTGTCTAAAGATTTTGGCATGAAAAACCCTCAAACACAGCAGTTATATTATGGAAAACAATTACAGCATGACATAAAACTGTTATGTTTAGTTTAAGCGCAACCTCGTGGGTTTTCCCCGGGTTCTCCGGTTTACTCCTAAATCTAAAGACCCCTACGCGCAAGCGAATTATTGAAATAAAATTGAACCATACAAAATACCGTTTAAAGAGTATGAAAAAAAAGTAACAATTATTTGCCTTTTAAAATGTGAATTCATTGATTGGTTAAAGACCAAGAAGTCTACCGTTCTACACCGCCATAAGCAATTCACGTGATACACTACAAAACTATTTATGGAATAACAATTACTGATTTATTAACACAGGCAACGGATAAATACTTAGCTTAGGGTTTTACCTATATGTTAAAATTTGTTTTATAAAGACGACAGTACCATCGTCAAAACGTTGCATATAAACCAGTAATTTTAATTCCATTTATTCCATAAATAGTTTTTAGTATGACGTAATACTTACCTCATAAACTAAATATGGAATAACAATTAATAGCTAATGATAATATATAAGTAAAACCCCAAGAATTTATACAGTAAACCTATGAGTCATATTTTTTTTGGTTAAAAACGAGAGTATCATCGTCGAAACCTTGTATGTTAATAAACCAGTAATTGTTATTCCATAATAAAATAATCTTGAGTATGTTATTGTTCAATTACTAAATGCCACTCAATGAAATGAAATGGGGTTTAAAGTCCTACTGTTCTGCTCCGAACTGGGCTAATGAAGACGGGCATACGCCATACAGTGTGCTATGAGGGAAATTTTACCCGGACAGTGGCACTACGGCCTACCCTTATATCGAATTCCAACTGTCAAGGCTAATGAAGATGGGCCACCCAAAGAACATCTTTATTTTGATCAAATATTTGGCTGCTTTTCTCTCAACATAACTTGATATTTATGATAACAGTAATTATTAGGACATTATTGTTACAAAAAATATTCTTGAATGTGGTACTGTTCAATTATTAAATGCCACTCAAAGAAATTCACGTAATGTTTTTTTTTTTGTTTTTTCAACTGAATGATTACGTCAATCGGTTTGTATTAAAGTAAGCAACACCTGTGTGACGATGTTTAAATTTATTCTTTGTTTGTTTCTTCTATTTAAAATCAATCGATTGTATTTTGGTTTCTAATTTGACCGCCTACTCGATGTTATTACTTGGGTTAAATACGATTTGTTAAGCAATACTCAGGAATACAATAGCTAAGAAGATATATCAATTTCCTACCTTCCCGTCTTAGTAATAATCATCTCCGTTCCAAGTTCGTGAAATTTATCCCATAGTTCTTTTGTTTCTAGACGACAACTCACGTGCTCCATTTCTTTGCTTCCAGATGACGTCACTGGTGTCGTTGCTATTTTGGCTGTCTTTAAAGGTATTTTGTCTTTCGGTATTATTTTCTGTGGCATCGCGGATTGTCTTTCTACCAATTTTTCTAGAATTACAAGAAATTAACCCTTAATTAATGTTACCGTCTTATCAATCTATTGAACTTGCGTGTCAACTGTAGATTAATTATTTTCCGGGAAACAAATAGAATTAGAGAAAATCTTTCCATTGAAAAATAAAACAAATCATTAGAGTAATTAGACTTCATTAAGAAGTTGAAATTATCCCGTAACGAAATACCATTCACAGAGTTATTAACCTTTGTTTGATTTTGTACAGAATTTTATCACGTCATCAAAAAAAAAAAAAAAAAAATAATGGGAAATTGACCAAATTAGCTCCCTAAGAGATTCTAACAAAATTATTTTTTGTTGAAATGCATGAATGCATTATTTAATGAAATTTCAAATTAACAACAAAAACAATAGGCATTATAAAACGGATCTTAATCTAATCTAGAAAAAAAGAAAACAGTGTTTATTTTTCTTTTAAAAAAATATATAATTAGCATTTGGCTTACCTAAAGGTGAAAGGGAGGTATCGTCGATGATAATATCTTCACTATCGCTATTCTCAATTTTCGGTGTCGGACTCCCAATAATGGCCGCTATAGAAAACGCCGACGCTTTCGATGATAATTGAGGTTTTTCTTTATCAACTATATTTATGATATTTTCATTAGAGTCAATCTTCTCCAATTTTGGAACAACACAAGGTTCTTCTGTGTCTGACATATTTGTAGTTTTAGAATTAACCCGTGTAAAAGTTGACACAAACTCACGTGATGTAGAAATAAGCCCCGTGTTTCGGTTCGTATCTTTTTCCTAGGCTAACTTGGCAGCCTATGGATAATTGTAACTAAATGGCGAAGAAAATCCTTTAAAATGAGACGATGTTTCAAATTTATCACACAAATGACAAACGTTTTAACAACATACACTAAAATTCGGATGCCACAAACTCTCAATCGTATGTTGCTAATAGCCGATTTCTCCTCAACAATCTCCGCTGTAAGCGATAAGTGGATTGGTTAACCACCTCAGCAGACCTAGCCAATGAAATGCCGCGAGAGGCCGTCCCGCGGAGGGGAGTAAGATATTAGATGACTGTTAATTGGCTGAGGCAAGTTGTCTGTTTCAGCACATTGATTACATGTTACAAGCGACTTGTCAATTTATCATGCCAATACAGAGGAAAATATTTACACCATATCAATGGTTTTCGTTTCTCTTAAAATCGGAGATGACGAGTTTTATGAACGGATTAATAAATTCAGGTTATTTTTATGACCATAAAATCTGGGAAAATTAATGGAACGCTGAATTTGTGTACGGTATTTGAAATACATTTTCTTTACGTACACGATGATCGGGATGGTTTATTTATTTTCTTAATAAACCAGTAATCATTATCCCATCAATAATTTTGAGCGTGTTACTGTTTAATTACTAAATTAATATGAAAAAATATTAGAGATAACTATTTTTTTCGCACTTCACAAAGTCTTGTTAACGGCAATTGGAATGTTTTCTTGGGACATTTTCTAGGGACTCTACGACAGAAGAAATCAACAAAACAAATGAAATGAAATGGGGTTTAACGTCCTACTGTTCTGCTCCGACCTGGGTTAATGAAGACAGGATCTATAAAACAAGAAGCGGTTTATACTGCACCAAAACATTATTTGTTTGATGAAATGAACACAAACTATGATATCGGAAAATGGAATACTTGTAACTTTATTTGCCATTCGTTAGGGTTTTTTTTCTAACACGAACTGTGAATATTTAATGAATTATTTCAATTAATTATGATTCATATTCACACCCCATGTTTCCTCGCCAAATAAAAATGTCAACGTTCTCATCCAGAATCTTATGAATTTTTTACAGTGAAAATTTAGTTTGCTTTTTTCGATAGAGAAAGTCGGGGTGAGTTGGGGAAGAGAGAGAGGTGGGGGGGGGGGGGGTTATTTCGGTCAGGACTAACATATGGTTCAATTTTATTACAACAATTAGCTTACACGTAAGGTTCCTTTAAAAAGAGAAAGAGTTTTTGTGTCTAACAAACTAGGACATTTTGGGACTGCCATATGGCTCACATCTATTTCAACAATTCGTATGCTTGCGCGTATTGGTCTTTAGCAGTGGGAGGAAACCGGAAAACTAGGTATAAACCCCAAGATTGGAAAGGCGATCCTACTCCTTGTCACAACGAACAAGCTGCGAATTGAACCCCGTTTGTTTATATTTTGCATAATGATAAGTTATTGTAGGCCCTATATATTAAGGGATGTTTGAATACTGTATAAGTATATACCATACTATTCTATATATTTATCTATAGTAAAATGATATATCGATAATAAATACCCCTGCTGCCTGTCAACCAGCCCTCAAATCACATTATACATGTATATACATGTAGGTAAAAGGGTGCGATGAATCAAACACTTCTTTTATTTGAGGGGGGTTGGATGGCTGAATGGTTAGCGTGTGCGCGCTGCATCATAAAGTCTGTCATTGAGTCAACTGGCGTGGTTTCGATTCCCCGGTTGTACGTGACAAGGAGTAGGGTCGCCTGTCCAACCACGTGGGTTTTCTCCGGTTTCCTCCCACTGCTAAAGACCCCTACGCGCAAACGAATTATTGAAATAAAATTGAAGCATATGTTAGTCCCGAAATGACCTAATTTGTGTCGAGTGGACGTTAAACACCATTTCTCTCTCCCTCTCTCTCTCTGTCTCTCTCTTATTTGATGAGATCATCAAACATAAATATTTTCTCCACCGAAAAAGAAGAAATCTGGTCATTTTTTCTTCAATGATCAATAAACATCATTATTTTGTACCCAGTAGACTCAGATGCAAGGTTTACTAATTCAAATAACTGAAATGTCATCTTATAAAATAACTTATATATTGCATCACATTTTTGTTAACAAATCATTATTTGTTTGATAACGATACATGTATGTCTATTGAAATTTGCTTGATAACAATACCTGTATGTGTATTGAAATGTAGCATGTTAATAAATCCATACAACTATTTTATTTTATAAAATACTAGTCAATAAGGGGTTTAATTCTAAATCGCATTATTAAATGCAATATTCGAATTTTCTTCCTCTAAACCGTACTGTTGGCATTATCTTTATTGATTTAGTATTTTCATGAATTTAGTATATTTGTTTTTCCATTGATTAAGTATTTTCATTGATTTAGTATTTTCATTGATTCGATGTTTTTAATGATTTAGTGTTTTCAATGATTTAATATTTTCATTGATTTAGTATTTTCATTGATTTAATATTTGTCTGCACCGACTGGGCTAATGAAGACGATAGCGGTTTAGAACGGACCGAACGGACCCACCTCTTTAAGGCTCACATTTGTTCTTCAGATTTTAACACGGCGGAGAAAACTGTTTGCGATTTAGCCCACCATAGCCATACACAGTAATTTTTTGATTTAAATCATAGTGGTTTTTTTTTCAGTATGGCAATCACGTAGAAATGGATGCACTGTTTCAATTATAAGAAATTTTCACGGAATGAAACTTTTTGTATATTAAACTCCTATCATGATTCGATATGTGTTTCAGCTCGGATTAATTATATGTAATCCAACATAGCCATACGCAATCGTTTCCTGTCACAAATAGTTTAGGGGGTTTGGATGACCGAATGTTGTATCACAAGGTCTGTCATTGAGTCAACTGGTGTGGGTTCGATTCCCCGGTTGTACGTGACAAGAGGGTAGGGTCGCTTGTCCAACCTCGTGGGTTTTCTACGGGTTCCCCGATTTCCTCCCACTGCTAAAGACCCCTACGCGCGAGCGAATTATTGAAATAATAAAATTGAACCATATGCTAGTCCCGAAATGACCTAGCTTGTGTCGAGTGTAAGTTACCCCCACCCCATGCATTATGCAAGAGGTCTTTCATTAGGCGTGAAATGTTATATAAACTATTAATTAGATATTTATTAAAATGAAAAGACCATAATCAACTCTTGATGCCATCTTATATGTCCGATTATCATTGGATTTGAATCCGATCTGCGCTGTTTAACGTCCGTTGATATTTAACGCAAAAATGGATAATCGAGACATTGTTAATTATCGTGACAGCGGCAACAATGACAATCGAGGCTACAGAGATTTTAAAATTAGGTTTTCTCAGCTTAAAGTGAAGCAATTTGACAGACATTTTCCGCATAATTCATTCACACCATCTAGTTTTTAACTGTCCGCCCCATATCTAATCTTCCATAATGTATCTTTAAATAATAATTTATATAACAGTTGAAGCCAACAATAGACAGATTTAGGTCTTACATAATGCATCTTTAACAATAATTTTTTTTAACGGACACGTCTCTTTATGACCGATATGATTTCACAGTAGAGACGTTGGCTCGGGAAAGACAAGACCATATTAGCTCATGAAACAAGTTCATATATATTAGCTCGTGACTATTGGAACAATACATGAATCATAACACGGAAAGGTTATCTATCGTGTCAGCTTATTGTTATTATATATAAGGTAATATGTAGATATAATTAGAAGAAACAATGGTTAAATTGATACATATAATACGTTAATACACATCAGCACACAAACGCACATTATTCCTTTCTCAAAATGCGATAGACAGAAAGTTTTCTTGTGTGTTATACCGTGTTTTATCAAGCCTTATATCGGACAATCTGTATTTGTTGTTGAGGCGATATTAAGGAAACGGAATCTGTTGTTTTTCGAGTCTTCTTCTGATAACTTTCTCGGCTTTGGCGCCAATCCGCCACAATGTTAGCACAATCGGAATCACTTTCCACAATTTGTCGTTATTCTAGCAGAGACTGGCGAGACGCGATCGAAACTGCAGCCCCGTAAACTAAGATCGCAATGGGGCATTTGCTTGCCGTCTATAATTTACAATGAGTGTAGCGAAAGGTAAACTTTACGAATATCACCCAATTGAATTAATCTGCTTCTCTGTGGGATCCGGTTATCGCGTTATAATCTTGAGAAACTTTCAAGGGTTTTGTTTGGTAGCAGACACCGTTGTGGGTACATATGTGGCGCCATTGTGGTTTTAATGGCCCGACAAGATTCTTCGAGTATCGAAAAAAATGCTGCAAACTTTTCCCCTCGTCAACATAAACAAGACAAACGCGATCTTTCTCCCTCAGGATCACTCCCAAAGTTCATTGTCTGTTTAACGTCAAGCCTTCACGTCATCGCGCGTGCATGGTATTGCAGGCGTCGTGACGTCAGCTGTGACATCACAGTGTTCAGAGGGGCGGTTTCTATTTGAACGTCGGTTTCTTTGCGTTTCTGGTATTTTGTCTGTTTAAAGAAAATATTCCATTTATATATGCAGTGAATAAAACTACAATGTAGTTAATTATATGTGTAAGGCTCTTAGAACTATATATTCACTCTTCAATATTTACACAGATAGCCTACCCATGAAATTTTACTTCAACAATTCGCATGTGGTCTTTTGCAGTGGGAGGAAACCGGAGGACCCGGAGAAAACCCACGAGGTTGGACAGCCGACAATACTCCTTGTCACGTACAACCGGGGAATCGAAACCACACGCCAGTTGTCTACATGATACAACGCGAACACGCTAACCATTCGGCCACCCCCTAATAATAGTTTAGATTCTACATCAATATAAATATCAATAAAAATCACACACCGATACTTATTTTCTTTTACACAATCCAAACAGATAGTGTGTAATTTATAATGTTATGCATGAGCTTCATTTGGCCACCTATTTCCCCCTAATACTAGTTTAGATTCTACATCGATATTAATATCAATATGAATCACACACCGTTTCTTTTACACAAACCAAACAGATAGTGTGCAATATAATGTTATGAGCTTCACACATGCATTAATTATAATATGATTGCTGGGTATTTATATTAAAGTGGGC